AATGTTCCGACTGTCCCTTAATTTAGATCCAATAGTCTTTGCGATAAGAAAATATTTAATACTTGAAAAAATTTGAACTACCTCAAAGTGTGAAATGTTTAGTCGTACAAAATTAATACAACCGTTCTGATTAGCTAGCCTTACTTCACTTTGGAACGATTTTTTTTGTGCGGTATAAATTGCCACGCATAAATAATTCGCGTTACGCTCTCAGCAATTTTATTAACTTCTTCAAAACGCGCATAATTTAGTCCAGAACATGGCCAATTTGGCAATTTTCAAACCACCAGACCAAAAATTAATCGGAGGTAAATTATCTTTTTAGATTCGAACTCAGGAAGTCGATATCTTCAATGGGGTATAAAAAAATTTTTGTCGAAAACTATTATTTCGATCTGCGAAAATTGACTGATTAAAAAAACCACACCGAGCATAAATATTCCGTTTCCTTCCAAAGCCGGAACAAAAACAAGAACAAGATCATAAACATTCTTTTTTATCCGATCTTTAGAAAATTCGTTTAATCAAAAGTGATTTATATATGGTTATGGCTGAGTAACAGATTATTTGGTTAACATGTCAGGATTGAAAGCTCTGAAAGTAAAATTCATCATCTCATAGTTCTCAATTTTTTTAACAAGTGCTAGTGACAGATTTAACCGGCTGGTTTCGACTTTTCCTAGTTTTATATTCTCGCGAGAAAATGTTCTTATTTCTCAAAAAATGTTAGCTCAAATAATGAAAAAAATATATATTTTCAAAGCTTTTAAATGAAGTTTGAAAAAATAGAAAGTGAGTTGCGTAAAAAGCAGAATAAAATCTACTTATCAAATGATATGAAATCAAGTTATGTTATGAATTGAAAAGCATCGTCAAATTCCATGAAATGAGTAGAAAACAGAACCATTAGCTAGTTGCATTAGTTTCTGGCTGAATTAACTTTGATATTACTTTTGTATTTTGTAATAAAAGAAAACATTACTGATGGCTATTTAGTGCGTATCGCAATTTAGTAAGGGGAGTGGGTTAAGTTCAAATTACCCCGAAACAACCCTCTTTTTTATTCTCGTGGGGTTTAGCCCGGAAATATCTCAATATTTTCATATAGCAAATGTAATGAAAAATCGGGGCTGTCTAAAAGCAGCACCATAGCTAATAACAACAGTTATAGATAGAGTCAAGATGAGGGCAAGTTGTTATTATTTTTATTATCAGATAATTTTGAAGAGTGCCAGATAATTTTGAAGTTTTTTCAAGAAAGCCAGCCCGGAAGCCTAACCCGGAGGTTAATTATTTAAGATTGAACTAGAGCTCATTTAATCAAGATGAGCGCAATAGTTTATGGCTACTATAAGTTTTGGAGCTCTATGAGCTCAAAAAGTTATAGATAGTATCTAGCACGTGCGATTTCACCGACCGTAAACGCCACCACGCAACGAAAGAAGTTGACAAATTTCTGAGACATCAGAAATCGAGATCCAGAACCAAAATCGGCACTTTTCCAGTCCCCCCTTTGAATTTTATTTTTGAAAAATCTATTTAACGTTGTCATAAAGCAATAAAATTTTGCGTGGTGAACAAATAGACAATTCTGAACAGATTTGTTGTTCATACTTTACAGCGTAACATCACGCATTTAGCCGTAATAAAACGTAAAACAAACATAATACTCGGTATTTTGAAAGGGGGGACTGCAAAAGAGCCCCGAAATTCAATAATCCGGTAATGAAAAAATTTATTTCGAGAAAAAATGCAGAAAAACTAAAAAATAATAATGAAGAAATTGTGTCAACATAAATCAGAGTTTGAGACCAATTCAATTTAATATTATTGCTTACTACAAAACCTAAACCTTTGTTTTTTATCTGCGTTTCATATTTCTCACAGATTTTCATGAAATGAGTAAACTTTAACAAGAACATTTGATCAAAAAAGAAGATTAATGTAAATTGATTTTGTTTTTGCTCACAAAATCTGAATGAAACTGATAAAAAATGAATCAAATTCAATTTAAAAAAATTTATAACCAGGTTATACAAAACAAACCATTATTGTTCCATTCACTGCAAAAGAGGAGTATTTGGGTCGATGCAAAATCAGGTGCCACAAATTACCCGGGTCACCAAAACTTGTTATCATACATTTTCCATATATGAAAAACTTCCTACCATACAATTCCATACAGTTCCATGCCAACAGAAAATGTATGATATCTCTATGACAAGCATTTTTCCACTTATGAAATTTGTATAACAAGTTTTTTTCCATGAACCAAAAATTTGATTTTTTTTTCTAAATTTTTTTGAAACTTTTTTGAGTTGTGTTCGTAACCGACCGCAAGTGACAAAGACTTTGGTTTACTCAACGCACCAAGAGTTTGACGGTTTTGAGCTGTCTTTCACAAATGATATAACAAAAGTAACCATATTTTAAATTTTAGCAACGTTTTTGAACAATGATTATTTAAACACCCCTTATAACACCCCAACCGTCGCAGTCGCAACCGCCATTCAGCCCATTACAGACAACATTGCAATTCAACTAGCCCTACCATCCAAAGAAAATTTAGTTTGCACCGCACAACGAGCGCGCAAGCAACGAGAAGAAGTCTTACCAGTCTCCCCAGCAACCAGAAGTTTCGAAATACCCGAACTTTTCAAAAATTTTTATTAGATTTGACAGTGGGCAAAATGATCACGAGAGGATTATTTTATTCGGTGACCCTGAAATGCTACCTGTGCTTGAAACATCCAACTTTTGGTTGGCTGATGGAACTTTTAAAGTCACCCCGAAAATGTTTTATCAACTTTACTCCATACACGTTAGTCTTTCAGGAATAGCCCCTGCTTGCATATATGCGTTTCTGCCAAACAAAACAGAAAAAACTTACCACCGTTTCTTAGAAGCCCTAAAAATACTAGTCCCTGATAGTAGACCTGAAAAAAATTTACTGGATTTTGAGCAGGCCGCTATTCAAGCGTTTCAGAAAAAATTTCCCGAGACCAAGCTGTAGGGATGTTTCTTCCATCTTTCACAAAATTTTATGAGAAAAATCGCGGAGCTCGGATTGAAAAAGGATTACGAAACTAACCACGAGTTCGCTTTAGCACTCAAAATGTTACCCGCACTGGCTTTCGAAAAAGAAGAAGGAATAGGAAATTCATACGATAAAATAGTGGAGGAAATTCAAATAGTTTGCGATCACACCATAAAAGAGTCGGAAAAATTAGCAAAAGTTGACGAGCTTTGCCTTTATTTTGGATCTAACTACATAAAAAGTCTCGTCCCGAATCGGGAAGCCCTATTCCCCCCTTCATTATGGAATCGAAGGGATGCGGCATCATCGGGTCTGGCCAGAACAACAAATGCTGTAGAGGGCTGGCATTATGGCATACAGTCATACTTCAGTGGATCGCATCCCAAAATATGGAAAGTGATTGCAAATTTGCAAAAAGACGCTTCCGTCCAAAAACTTAATTTCTATAACGCCTCGAGTGGGCACCAATTTACAAAAAAAAAGAAATACCGGGTGCTCAATGAAAAAGTGCAGAATATTATGCTTGTTTACGAAGAAAAAACTGATTTGCTTTTCTTTCGCGCTATGGCGAATTTGAGTTAAATATTTGCTATTTAATCTGTATTGCCAAGCAATAAAATTTTTTCCAAGTTTAATTATTTTCCTTGATTTTTCAAAATTGAGCTAGAGTCGATTTGAAACCGGCAAAATAATGAATACATACAAGGTGTTGACTTTTCTTTTCCCTCCGCCCAACCCCCTAAGATGAACCCATTTATTGTACCCTTGATATACCCGTTATCATATTTACCCGAAATTCAACATTTTTGGGAAAATTGGAAAAAATTTTCTGCCGCCAGGGATTCGATCCTTTGATCTCTAGATTTTGAGACTAAAGCTTTAACCACTATACCATGAGGCATTTGGTTGTCATCCGAATTATTCTTCCAAGTTTGGCTCTTTGATTTTTAATTAAGCCCATGTTTGAGTTTTCAAAGCGTAGATCAATTCTGTCGGCGCCAAAAGATCAAGGTCAAGAAATGTTTTGTATATGCACCAATTTGAATCATGTCGGTCGGGTTCGTTTTCAGGTTCATATCAAAGTCTAGACTATCGGCAAGGTCATTTTTCGCAATTAAATCTTTGATGTTTACCGACGATATGGTTCCGAATCTTTTTCAAGTAACTTTCACTTTGATTCTTACAATTGGTTTTAAAAAGGGGTTAAATTGTAGTGGGGTTATCTGATTTTGGGTTTATATGAGAGGGGGTTAAGAAAAAGGGGGTTACAAAACACGGGGTGATAAGCTTGGGAACCCTATCACCGATCAGCCTGTGTGAAAAGTTCCATCAAAAAATTAAAGTCGATTAACTAATTATACTAATTGACTGAGTCAAGATTTGCAAGTTGAAACAACACCCCGAGCACAAACAATCTGTAACTTTTTCCGAAATTCGGAACAATTATTAGCATGAAAATTTTCTGAATAGAACGTGAAATAAATTGTTTTCAATTAAATGTTGATTGGCCATTTTTTTGGAAAAATTTTTGAGAGAAATGTCGAAAACCAAATTATGATTTGGTGTTACGGTGTTCTGTTAATTTTGAGAAAATACGTCAGTCAACACTTAAATTGACGAACTTCTGCTTTTCGCACGTTTTTATAAAAGTAATGTTTTACAAGCTGTCGATGCATCGAACGCTTTTAATTCATCGAATTTATACCCCATTTTGGAAAGTTTTTATTTTTATGTTCTTTGAGACGTTATTGTTATTTCAGAAACTAAGTGACGTAAAATCTGCGCTGTATCAAAAACTTCCACACAGAAAACGACAAGCACTGGAAAAAATTATTGATTTTTTAAAATTAAAAACAGTCACAACTTTATACCATAATCGTACCATCGTTTTTCCAGTTTTCAAAACCCCTCGTAATTATCAATTTTTGCGTTTGCAGAGATTTCGGTTTTTTTTTAATCTCACCTTCGCAGATTTAGATGAATAGGGCTCGTCAAACAACTTCCACAGCTCTATCTGGACTTTCTTCAGTCTGGTTATTTTCCAGTTGTCAGCGTGGTCCTTTTCTATCTAAAAAACCAAATTTTTATGAAAAAAACCGGCGTAATTTGTTGAAAAAAAAAACATTTTTTTGCGAAATTTAAAAAAAAAGAACAGAGTAATTTATTTTTAACATCATGAATAGTCTCTGCTTAAAAAAAATGAGCAAAAATAGTTCCAGTGTTGTTTAGACAGCTGATTGCGTGGTATTGTGTTGCAAGATATCGAGATTTTTTTCTCAATTTTTAATTTTTTTTTCAACATCAATGTCGAGTTTAATTATTTTATTGCAATAATTTAAAAAGTTTTCAATTCCCAAACCAAATATTTATCAAATAAAATAAATTTTAGCAATAAAATAGCGCCGGGTCTCGTTAACAATTACCCACTCCCCTTCCCCTATCAAACTTTTTGTTACAAATGTATGGTTGTAACTGGCCTTGAACTTGGCGTATATGTTCTCGTCGCTAAGGACGTCTGGATCGTGTCCGTCTATCTCCAAACTGTCCAGAACCTCCAGCACATCATCCGTGTCCCTGTGTTTGGTGTAGGTCATCCAGCAACATGGCTCCACCTGCCAATCATTAGCAATTTATTACTTTAATTAAGATTTGATGACATAGAATTAAGAGATTGAATCTCCTATTTCAAAGAGGACTTTAACAGTGGAGTGCACAGGAAATTAGGACAACTTAAGGTCAGAAAAACACCTGAAATTTAAAAAAATACGTTACAATTTGAATCTGAATTTTGATTTCTTAGACTTTGTCAAAGTGATGATTCAAAAACTAGAGCAGTTTCCGTTGTTTCAATCTAGCAGAATTTTCCTGGTTGCTGCATTTAGAAAAATCTAGAATTTGAAGTATTGAGCTAAAACTATTTTGTGCTCTGCATTATTATTCTCCCTCACCGGTTTCTTATAAAAAGTTGTAAGATTCTATCTGCTCCTTGTTTCGAGGGTAATCTCCAACAAATTAAGCAGTGAAAAATAAATGTCTGTGTTTAAGAGGGTGTTATGTAAACCAACACTAATAAAAAAATTAAATTGTTTGAGTCATGAGTGTAAAAGCTTTAAAATGATATATAATATATTTACCCGCACTTAGTAAAAAGAGAAAATAATCGATTATATTATAATTATAATCGTACTTTTAGCAAAATTATAATTAATTATAAGCGCCAATTTTAGATGTTTAAACGATTTATAATCCATTATAATGATAACATTTTTGGTGACGTTTTAATAAATACAATCATTTATAATTTTTCCTAAAATCTCTTTTAAACTCTTATAATCTATTATAATAGATTATAATCCCTTTTTCTATCAAAATAATATTTGACAGGAAAAATCATTTATAATGGATTGTAATTTAGCTATTCTGCATGAAAACACAATAAAAATCAGTAAGATGTAAGAATAAGTAAACCAGGGGCGGATCTAGGATTCTCGCGAGGGGGGTTCTGAGTTAGGACCGAGTGGTTAACTCATAGAGTAATTTCGGATAGGGTACACCGTCTGCTCGTCACGCTATCTTATTTTCGGCCGGATAGATTCGTGCAACTTCTTAGTCTAATACCGATCCTAATCTTACTCTTATACTATCTAGTCTCAGGTTGTTTAACTAGTCTCTGATAGGCTCAATAGATCTAGGGTATACTGGTTTATTGCGGCTGCTGAAGTGCTCGGGAGAGTCCAACTAATTTCTAAGTTAAATTCAAATCTCTCTGGTGCTGAAATTACAAGTAACTTCAGCACTTACAAATAAGTGGGTTGTTAGTTAGATGGATCGTGATTGGTTAATATTAAATACTTTACATTGGTAAAACATTTAATTTATCCAATCATAAAATATAGTTTAGATCAGGTTCCACCCATCCGGGTTTTACAGAGTTTTTTAGAACAGTTCTTCTGTAATTCAAGGATGGATGATGGACGTTGGTATTTGGTGAACATCATAATTTTCTTCCGCTTCTTCTTTGTTAAAGAAGTTTCAGGAAGCTGGAGTTAGAGACATAAGACGTTGTGTCTTCTAGTGACAACGACTAAGTCTTCGCAACAAACTCAAATCTGATTTCAGAATGGTTGGCTATGTCAGGTTTTTTTGTTCTGCGTGGAGAACTTCTTTTGTGTCTGATCTAGTTTGGGAATGGCGTGGAGATTGTGCGTGGAGGGGATGCCTGGTTACTCGGATCTGTACGTATACTTGAACATCGAGGTGGTCATTGGTCTAGTTCAATGAAGTCCTTTTCTGCGAAGTCAAGTCGTACTCTAAATCCTTTGAGTTGTGATTGTGAGTGGCATATCGATTGTGGTTGGTCATTCTCTCTCGAGTGTAGTGGGGTCGTTTTGTCTTTAGATGTTCGTCCTTGGTGTTGTATTCTGATCTATGTATTGCATCATGTGATTTTACATTTTATAAAACTTTTATTAGTTTAATATTTTTTAATAATGATTTTAGTTAGTTGTTTTCACAAAAGCTTTTTGTTTTAGTTCGGTTATTTTGAAGAGTTACTCACACTTGAGTAGCTCTTATTAAAAATAGAGGTGTGGTCACAAAGCGTGGATGTAGCGCGGTGGGTTAGGCCGGCTATAGAGCATGCTCAGGACGTCCTTCCTGGTGGGTTAGGCCAGGAGTGGGAGTATGATTTCATGCGGTTTTTGTGAGGGGTCCTGTTATGTGACAACGTTTTATGTTGGGTTTGTTGTGGTTTTTCTTATGTTTTGTTGGTTGTGTCCTTTTTTCAAAAATCAAATTGTTTGTGGTATGGGTTTGTCTTTCGACTTTTTTGTGTTTTATTATTTCTTTCTTAGACTTTATAATAGTCTTCAAAAGAATAAATTATCCAGTTTTAAACTGGGTTAATCCGGTTTGGGTACCGTTGGTTTCCTTTTCTTAGTCATGCTGTTATTCTATGATTTGTGGTATTTAGTAAGCTGCGTTGGTTAGTTTTGTTTAGTATATGATTCCTTTCCAACCGGGTTAAAGGAAAGTTTGAAACATGTTATTATATGTTAGAGTTGTTGAGTGTGAAAACTTGAAACTGAAATTCATTATTTTAAACAATTCTTCGTGGGCGAGCTGTGCGAGTGTGGATAGAATTTCTGTGCGAATGAATGAAAATATCAAAAGGTTAGTACTGCAATTGCATTTTATTAATTTACTGCATAGAATTTGGAAATTTACTGCTAGTTATGGGGGAATTTTAAGTTACAAATTTTCATCATAATTAGATTTACTGCTTGTGGGGAAAATTTTAGAAATGAATTTACTGCATTGGTATTAAATTTATAAATTTATAAGTGTAAGAGATTAATAGAATTTTTGAAATCTGTTTGATGAAATTTGCGATTTTTATTTGTCTTTTGTGGTTTTTGTAGGTGATCGTCGGATGAAGGCTAAAAATCTAAGGAAAACATGGATAAAGTATGGTGAGTTTTTTAATATTTCAATTAGTTAGTTATATTCATTTAATTCATACTTACCTGTTAGTCGTCGGGGAAAAAACCGTGGGGGAAGATGTCGTGAATTAGTTCTGAAGTTGTTAGTAGTTTAGCTAAGATGCGGATGATATTTTTAGTTTGAAGCAGTGGCCAAAGCAATTGAAGTGCCTTAATAGTGGTTAGTTCTTCAGTGCCAACTGCAAACTCATAAGGTGTGTTTTGGATTAGATTATATAATTTGTGATTGAATTTAGTGTTGTGGATGAATTCTAAAATTGGGATTTCTATGGGTTGTACAAACTCGTGCGGGATAAGGAAGGGTCGGGATTCTTCGGCGTTGAAGGTCTTGGTGATGGGACAGAAGATGTACATTTGGGTTATGGGGTCATAATTACGAAGAATACCATGGAGGTTAGTGTCTTTAATACAATATGTGAAATTTAGGAAAAATGGTGAAGTGTATTTGGAATTAATGAATTGAAAACGATGGTGTGGTTGTCTAGAGGGTGTGTGTAGGTCAAAGTGATTTTGGATGAAGCGATAATAACTATATGTGTGGGTTTGTTTAGTGCGCAACATAATATCGTGTGAGCAGTGTAAATCTCTTTCGTGTGGTGCAAGGAAATGAAAGGTTAGTGAAAATATTTGGAAGCGTTCTTTAAAACTTTCGTATGCTTGTGTGTCTGTTAGTGCTTCTGAAATAATGTGATCAAACTTTCGGTCGAAGATGTTTAGTGTAAATATATATGGTGTCTTGATGAAAAATTTCTCGGTAATTTGTGGATTAGCGAAGCGATCGTCGTCTAAGAATTGATCTTGGTTAGCTCTGATGATGTTGTGATCATAGTATTCGAGTGTATATTCGTTAGCTCTAGGTGCAGTGTGTGTTTTTAGTGATTTTTTATATCCAACGTAAGTAAATTGTCTAGCGGTTAGTGGTGTAGTGAGTCGATATAGCATGTCCGTATTTCGCTCTATATCGATGTGAGTGTTAGATAATGGTAAGCAAAGAGGGTTAGTAAAATGATAATATGAGGTCCAAGAGAGAGTGGGCATTAAAATGTATTCATCTACGAAGTTGCGTGTTTCGTTAGTGTCGTGGGGGGTGTTTAATGTGTATTGTGGGAATGAGGGTAAGGTGATGGCCAAAAATTCTTTTGTGTTAGTATGCTTGGGGTGGTTGATGTATTCACGGGCTGTTCCTGGTTTTGCTGGGAAAGGATGGTTGGGGAACTTTCTTTTAAAAGTGCGGTAAGCTCTATTAGTGTTGAGTGAAGATTCAGTTGATGTGGATGATGGTGCTAATGATTCAGTATAGTTTGAAGAGGGTGTAGGGGTAGGGGGGTTGGATGAATTTATTGTGGAGGAGATTTGGTTTATGGTTGGGGTATTAAGGTGGTAGGGTTGTTGTTGAAGGGTAATAAAATTATCTAGCTCTGGGGAGATTCGGGGGGTGTCTGGAGAATGAGATGATTGGTCAGAATGGTATGAGAAGTAGGTTGGGGTAACTTGGGAAGCATAAGAGGGTGTGGGGGTGATTGGGTCAGGGTTATTGGATAATATGGGTTGAAAAGGGGGTTGAGAAAAATTAGAAGAGTTATGAAAATTATTGGATGGGGATGGTTCTGAGTCGGCAAATTCATCGGGGGTTTCAATATTCGGGTTATTGAGTTGTGAGATGGAATATAAAACTGAGATGTGTGAATTAGTATCGGAATTCATGCCTGATGTTACATTACTAGATGGAAAATCGGGTGGCGGAAAAGCAAAAAGTGGTATTATTGGGATTGGAGAGGTAAGATTGGTTGGGTGGGAATTTGATCGGTGTAGTGATCCAAGTTGGCGGCTCATCGTGGGCTAAAAAAATGATTATTTTGAGACTGAAAAGCGGTGGTATGGGGTTGTTCAATAATTTGTTCATAAGTATTATCATCTTGTGACTGGTGTGTCATTATATGTTGAATGGGACTTTGTGATGTGGTGAGTCGAAAATTTGGATTATGTGTGATGGCTAAGTTTCGAAAATTTCGTGGGACTAGGGATAGTGGATGGTTATTTGGTAGGGGTGGTAATTGTGGTGCCGTTGGCGTTATGTCTACATTGTTATGTTCTTCGTCGTATGTATTTTG